GGCTCAGGTTTGGGAATCTCCCTAACATCCTCAGCTGTGAAGACTGAAGCAAAGAATTCATTTAGTTTCTCCGCAATGACTTTATTGTCTTTAAGTGCTCCTTTTGTATCTTGATCGTCCAGAGGCCCCACTGGTTGGTTAGCAGGCTTCCTGCTTCTGATGTACTTAAAAAACATTTTGTTATTACTGTATCTTCTGATTTTTTGGCTAGCTGTTCTTCAAACTCCTTTTTGGCTTTTCTTATTACATTTTTACACTTAATTTGGCAGAGTTTATGCTCCTTTCTATTTACCTCACTAAGATTTGACTTTCACTTTTTAAAAGATGCCTTTTTATCTCTCACTGCTTCTTTTACATGGTTGTTAAGCCACAGTGGCTCTTTTTTAGTTCTTTTACTGTGTTTTTTAATTTGGGGTATACATTGAAGTTGGGCCTCTATTATGGTGTCTTTGAAAAGTGTCCATGCAGCTTGCAGGGATTTCACTCTAGTCACTGTACCTTTTAATTTCTGTTTAACTAACCTCCTTATTTTTGCATAGTTCCCCTTTCTGAAATTAAATGCCACAGTGTTGGGCTGCTGAGGTGTTCTTCCCACCACGGGAATGTTAAATGTTATTATATTCTGATCACTATTTCCAAGCTGTCCTGTTATAGTTACCTCTTGGACCAGATCCTGCGCTCCACTCAGGACTAAATAGAGAATTGCCTCTCCCCTTGTGGGTTCCTGTACCAGCTGCTCCAAGAAGCAGTCATTTAAAGTATTGAGAAATTTTGTCTCTGCATTTCATCCTGAGGTGACATGAACCCAGTCAACATGGGGATAACTGAAATCCCCACTACTATTGAGTTCTTTATTTTGGTAGCCTCTCTAATTTCCCTTAGCATTTCATAGTCACTATCACTGTCCTGGTCTCTTTAACAAAGCTTCTCAATAGCATGAACAATACCTCTGCAGATACTTTCTGCATATTCTATTTATATATTTCCTGTTTTCTATGCTGTATGATTTGGGGTTTGTAAACAGAATAAATAAATGCTAAAATTATAATTCTGCTTCACTGCATCATATCTAAGGGTGTATTTTCTCAGTGTAACTTGAGGAAAATTACACAAGAGAGGATCTGTGCATTATGGAGAAAGCTATTTTGACTCATTAACTAGGCAGACAGGAGTATATTTGAACTGTAAACTTCAGAGCATAGTGAAATTCTTGTCTCATTCTAAGACAAGTCAGGAAAACTGTAGTACTGGAGCATAACCTTAAGTGTCCCTTACAGCTTCAGGCTGTCATGCAGGTGTGTGCATGCATTAAAAATATGCATTTTGTAAAGGCCTCTAAGTGTGAAATGCTGTGAAAGATTAAAAGCAATAGTAACATATGAGAAAATAAAAGACACATGTTTCCTCAACAAAATTGACTTTTTATAGAAGCAGAGAGGTTTTCTGTTTGCTTTGGCATAAAAATATTTCCCCCCCGAATGGTGGAAATATTTCCAGGCAGTTCTATAGTAATGCATATATTGCAAAATGGATCAGGAAGACATGGTTAAGATATTTCAAATCTGTGGATACTCCCCTGTCAGAATTGGTGGGATCCCACTCCACAAGGGGGTTCAGAAGGCCTGCAGTTGCAGGTGATGGGCACACCTTATGAGATACAGCTCATCCCTACAGGAGCCCTGAACCTCAGCACACATGAGATATGAAGAGGTAGGCCTGTGGTGATCCATGTGAGAGATGAGGCTAGAAGATCTACTGCTTTGTGAGTCCTCCTCTCCTCTCACATTCGTGGAGGAGGCTATTGAAGCCTCGCTGTTTAAAGAGTAGACCACGGATTGGCTCCACAGCCTTAGGGAGAGAATTCATCTCATTCCACACCCCTCTCACACTGCCCTGCACACGGCTTAGCACGCAGGCTGTTCACAGCTGCGCAGAATTCGGGCTTCAAAGAATACATAGCAAGCTTACATGTAACAAAAGCTACACCTCCCAAAATAAAAACTTTTCCCACTATACATAAGTGCAGTCAGTCCTTCTCAAGTCTGCCACTCCAATTTGGTAATACAAGTGCGAGAGACTTTGACACCTTATTAATGCATGGCAGAAAACAACAAAATACTTCAGATAATTAGTTCATAATTTGGACCAAAGCAAATATTTAATGATCAAGTGATTTGGTTTTTAAACAGATTACTAGGCATGTGAAATAAACTCCTTACTCAAACAGTAAGGTTTCTCAACATATCATCATCAACTTGGTGTTTTGCCCTTTCTTACTGTAGTAGTAAGACTAACCATCTCAATGCATTTAAGGGTCTAATATCTTGACTTTGATCATGGACTAACACCTATTTGATCTCAATAAAACTTCTAACACTGATCCTTGAGTACCTTGAGCAAAACGAAGGTGCCCGTGGCACTGACTTCTCCTGGTATGAATCTTACCTCTCTAGCTACTCATTTTTCATTACTGAAGATGGGGTTTCTTTCTTTCGTTGATACTTCTACTATAAAGTGTTACAAAGACCTGTCTTTGGCCCTTTTCTTCTCACCTATATCTCTTCTAATATATTTCATCAGTAGTTTCTATCTGAGCTAACATTTCTATATGGATGACATCCCATGGTACATTTCTTTATTTCCCATTTACCTACTCAACTTATCTCTGAAGCTCCTGATTATATCATCATATACTACTACTCAAAGTTTCAAAAACTGAAGTCCGAAGTAAAACAATCTTCTCTGTCCCACAGCTTTGACTTTACTACCACTCTCCTTAGCTCAGACCCCTCCTTTACCCCAAAGCCAGAAATCTTGAAGCTGGCCTTGATCCTGAATTTAATTTCCCCTTCCATATATAACTTGCCTATAAATTTGTTCATTACCACCTATGGATCATTGCCAGAATCCAGACTTCCATTAACCCAGCCTCTGCTCAAATACTTATTCATGCTTTAATCATTGCCTGAGTGAACTACTACATTCCCCTCTTTTAAGATCTTCCTAGTTTGTTTCCTATACTTCAAGGGGCCTGGATTCAGTAACCAGGCTATCATCTTGCTCAAAGAATCAGGACTCAATTAACCCCATTCTCTGTTATTGTTTCCTATCCATCTCTGAATTCAACTCAAAATTGTCTTCCTGCTTTTCAGAACTTCCAGCTGACTTGGCTGACCTTACCTGTCTGCCCATACGTTCACCTGCTCCCCTGCCTGTGCAGTTCTGATCTTATTCTCCTGTGGCCGCACGGCTAACTCCACAGAGAACAGCCATATTAATTTGTGCTGTCCAAGCTATTCAAAACTTTATCTCGTTCTAAGCCAGAATCACTTCCTTTTCTTTAAATTCACCTGAAAACCTTCCTTTGTATTGCATTTCACACAAAGTCCTAAAACTAGTGGAAATCAAATACAAGTCATCTATCACTTAACACACAACTGTGCAAAGAGCTTCAAGAAACAGCAATGCTCTGTACATTTCCTGAAAATCACCCTAAGGAAACGTTAAAACTGCGAATCCCTCGTTCTTACCGGAAAGGGTTATATTCAATCACCTTGGTGTGGTCAGGGTCAGTGGCTGCAAAAATCTGCTTGATCTCTCTGGAACTAGGTTCTCCTATAGCCTTCAGTTTGTTCAGGATGAGGCTGATATTGGCCATTGGGAACTTAATGGAGGGGGGAGAACAGAAAATACATATTACACTCAGAAAGGCATTACTTAGTTAATGTATGCACAGTGTTATGGAGATGTAAGGCACTGTATAATTACTAAATATTATCATCCTCATTGTCTCATCTCAAATGTGCAGTACATATCACAGCATTTTCTGTGAGTTTGAGAAAAAGCCAACTATGAGAATTTGCTTTTTACTGAAAATGTTAAAAGCTCAATAAATGTACTTATCTGTTATACCTTCAGAAAGCTTAAATTTTAATTACTGAAAACGATGCCTAGTCTTGCTTCAATGCAACATCAAAGCAGGTAGAGGTACATTTTTAAAGCGTAAGTTTAAAAATTATTTTTGCCCTCACTGTCCACAGCTGCATCCCACTTAATCCTCATTTAATACGTATGATCAATTTAAAATAAATCTTTTCATCCTTCGCTTTGGTGAACAGCTCACTACAGTTCCAATGCATATGCTCAGTCATATAAACTTGTCATTCACACTGGGTTCAGCACAGATTGTATTGTTAGGAACCAATTTTTCCCAGAACGTAAGATGAACATTTATTTCAACAAGTGGCATTCTTCCCGATTGGGCCATTCCAATTAGACTTGAGCACTTAAGCTTCAAATTCAGTATTCAGCTTTGCTATGTTAAAACCCTGTACATAATTTGCTTGATACTCTTAAAAGTGTGTAGTCAACAAGAATAAAACTTTAATTTTTATTTTTTGGAATAAAGAGTCATTTAACAGATGCTGAATCAAGTTCTAGAAAGTCAGACATGCTCTGCTGCAGAACATACAGTATAATGAAACAAACTGAAAACACTTTTCTCCCATTCGATACACAATGTTGTTTTGAGTAGCAAATATTGAAATTAGATAAGGCTGGCAATTAAGGATCTAACCATAAGAGAGGTTGGGCCTGACTTTTAGTTACACTTAGCATAACCGCGAGTCAGGCCCAGCATCTCTTAAGCATCTTTACATAACTCAGGTTGTGTTAAGAGCCCTAAAGGTGGGTGTACCTTAAGACCCTAATAACATTGCCTGAGCAGCGCAAAGGGGCCTTAGTGTAATTAATAATCACCAGTTCGAATTAACCTACCTGCTAGACAGGACATGCACACTTTGTCACTTAGGACTTGTCTACATGAACACTTACTTTGCAGCAAGCTGGAGTGTGAATCTACCCTGCACTAGTGCATGGCAGGCTAACTATCCATGTGTACCTTGCTGACACTCATTAACAGTTCCTTAATGTGCTTTGATCTAGTCTCTTCAACTTGGCTAAAATATGTAGAGCGGTGTGGGAACTGGAATTTCTAATTTATGGGAAATTCCTCAGTTTCTAACTTTGTTTTCATTCCAAATCAGAACAAAACCAAACAATTTCAAAATTTCCCACAAAATGATATTTTTGAAAATAATTCATTTTGGATCAATCAAAATGTTTCCTTTGATTATGACTTTTTACATTTTTTTAGAATATAAAAATGAAATAAATTTCAAAATTAAAATACTCTGTTCCAAAAATATAGAAATGGAACTTTATCAAAATGCCTTTTTTTTTTTAAATCTAAACAACATTGCATCAAAAATCAACACATTTCTGCAGAAAGTTTCTGTTTTGGCATAATGGCATTTTGTAATGGAGAAATGGTCAGTTGGAACTTTTTTGACCAGCTCTAAAAACAGGCACTGATGAGGAAAGTGATCAAGGCAAAGGAAGGAAACAGAGAACTAAAGGTTAAAGAAATTGAATTTAAAAATAAAAGGATTAAGAATAATCTTAAAACTCTCTTCCTCTACAATGTATTTATTTTTCATCTGTTTATCTCCAACTTTTATTGAAGTTCCTTACATTTGCTCAGGTAAGTGAAGTACATGACTCCCTGGACCATTGTGACGAATTAGTATACTTAATCCTAATATTCAGTATTCAGATACTATGCATAAATCACCTAGGCATCAATACAACAGTAAAGCTTATTCTCACCATCTGTTTTAAAATTTTATCTGCAAGAATAATAGTTTTCAAAACTCATTTTTAAAGGACTGTTTTCTCAATGTTTTTTGTTCACATTCTGCCAATTGTAATGCTGATATATGCATTCATGTTAGTCTGAAAAACTAGGATCTCATTTATTTGCTTAGGGATTAATCAAATGCAAACAGCAGCTCCAAAGAACATTTGTAGTTTAATGGTGCACTGTATATTTTGGAGCATGGTTTGGTTATGATACTAGGAGTACAAACAAATTGCAGGGAATAAGAGGTGTATATAGCTTTATCTTTTTATTAATACATAACAGTTAAAACACTTTATATCAACAAGCACTCTACAAACAAATAATCCTTACTTCACTGAGTGAAGTAGACAATGTTAGTATCCTTATTTTACAAAGAAACAGAGGCTGAAAACCTGTTTGTCTCACTCAGATGAGTAGTGCATGGGGCCCAAAGGCATTAAGGGCTAGACTGTCTACACTCTACTACGACTGGGTAGTGGAATAAGGATTTCCACCCTCCCACATGAAACAGTGTTAGGCCTACCCACCCCTGGGATCTGGGACTTCAGCACAGCAGAGTCCTTGAATGGCTGCTTCTTGCCCCCCTTCCCTTTCAGTGAGCAGGTGGTCAGGGAATAGGTAAAGACCTGACTAGAGTAACACTGCCCCCGCACACCTCCACCCACACACAAGATGGCAGGACACAGGGCTGGAGGGCAATCCCCTTTCTTGTTAAGGACTGATTCAGTGTATTCTTTGCCCTTCCCCAACTGCCACTGTGGGAAAGGGCAGCTTTGGAGAAATTATGACTCAGACACACCGAGTCTGAGACACATTTCCTTCTGGTGATCCACCCTAAGCAATGCAACTAATACTCTGCACAGAACTGTGCCTCAGGGCACAATCTGGCCCTAAGCAAGTTGCTCAAGGTGAGTATGGCAGAGCAGGGGTTAGAACTCAGGAGTTCCTGATTTCACATATTCTTCAAATGCATTTTAAAATAATTTCAGAATAATATTTTCAACACTTCAGAGAAAAGTCTTCCCAAATATGTACACCTACAGTTATAATTATTTCATCAGAATCTCCCTAAGTGTATGCTTCTGCACAACATACCCAGACCAGTAGTCCACCCATAATACTCTGCAATTCTTTATAGCAGCTTGTTTTTATCTTCTCCTCCAAGTTACTGTTTCTGCCAGTGCCTCATGTGACAACTGCTGTGGGAAGATGCAGCCAGAACAACTATGAGATACCTGTGTGGCTTTGGTTAACATCGACTCGGTTACCAGGACCATGTATAAATTAACTGGCACAATAAAAGTATGTGTCATCAGTTTTTCCCCTCCCTCTGCTAATTATTGCTTTCCTTTCTGAAAACAATGCCAGTGTCAGCAGATCATGAAACTCAATGCAACTGAGAGCTTGAATCCCCAGCTGTGAAGGGAATATGTGATATTTGTGACGAAGCACATGATCAGAGATTATATACAACTCTACCCCGATATAACGCAACCTGATATATCACAAATTCAGATATAATGCAGTAAAGCAGTGCTCCGGAGGGGTGGGGCTGCGCACTCCAGCGGATCAAAGCAAGTTCAATATAACACGGTTTCACCTATAACGTGGTAAGATTTTTTGGCTCCTGAGGACAGCATTATATCGGGCTAGAGGTGTATATATACACACAGAGAGGGGGGGTAGTGAAATTATCAAATTGTTAAGATAAATAATTAAATAATGATAGTTCAGTATACATTTTAGTATGAAGAAATATGGTAAACTTGGTTCTGAGAAAATTATACAGATAAGATACTCAATGCACAGTCCTGAAAGGCAAAATTAAATAGCAAAAGCCCAATTCACCTCATCTGCATGCTTCTCCATATAGTTGAAAGCATACTCATCAGCATCCACCAAAAGAAAGTTGTGACCATGGAAACAAACTTTGGCTCCAACAAACAGATCCTGAGCTTTGAAGTACTCAGATATCTCACTCTTAAAGAGCTCCTGCCCAGGCTTCTTAATACGACTTCTTTCCAGGAACTTCCCACCAAGTATCCCTGGAGGAACAGAATTGTAAATAATTAGCTGTACTTTGCTATTTTGTTTTTAAATATTAGTTTTCATCTTCAAGTTTCATCTCCCAGACTCTCCCCCCCTCCCCCCTCATTCCTGAAAAGGGCCATCTAGATCAGTGCCCACAGCAACAATTACACTGTGCACATTCCATGACATGTGATCCTTTTAATGCCTGCCAAACACCTTCCTTTTTTCATGAAAATGTGACAGAAGTTTGCCTCTTCTCACAGTTTCCACAACCCAGACATCAGCACTGGGATCCTTGGGAGGGATACAACACAAGCAATTGCACTTGAACAGCTAAAGCCAAATACAGCTTTGGATAAGGAGAAAGTCCTAGTCCTATATAGTGATTTTTTGGTTTACCATTATTCCAACTTCTTTTTAAGAGCTTATGAATGTGAAAAACATAGGCCTAGATAGCTCTAGCTTTCCCAGATAGCTCTTCCAATGCAACTTAGTTCTGATCAGTTTTCCTTTGTAAACTTGATGTCCTCGTGGTAATTTTATTTTCATATATAATGATTTAATTCACCTCATGGGAACTGAGCATGTGGTTGAAGGGCACTGTGTGTGATTTATACTATAGGGGGATTTTAAAATGTAAATGACATTTAAGTGCCAAATACAAGTGCAAGTAGGGCAGAATGGGTACCATTGTTTGTAAAGCTAAAGTGACTAGCATGTAAAATACTAGAAGGAATAGGCTTTCTTTTGAATTGATTTACTATAGTTTTGCAATGCCCAGCAAATCTGCATCACATTTACCAAGTTCTAGAAAACAGTTTGTCAAGTGTTATGTTTTATCAAGATATGTTACTATGTTAAATGTGCACTACGCCAATTCTGTAGTGCCTGGGCCTCATTTCCTGTTTATATCTAACCTTTCAAACCAAAAGCCAAAAAGCATACTTTTGTAACTTTTTATGATGTCTTACATATTCTGTAGTGATGTAAATCCAATAAAAGGCTGATGGACAGTGTAATAAAATGCCATTTATAGTCAAAACTGTAAGTGAATGTGAAACCCAACTACTTATTAAACAAGAGTTTGGATCAGATATCTTACTTAATTGCTCCACTAACATCATAAAAGTGATAGAAAAAATACATTAAGGTAATGATCAGGGTCTAGTTTAAACCCAAAAAAAGCAGGAAAATTCAAAGTTAAGGATGGAACTCTGAACTTAACACATTCCTTTTCACCTAGGTATAGCAGCACATATGATACTTTAGATCATACAGTTTTAGAAGATGTATGCAATACTTAAGCACAACTGGCCACCATGAGATTGGAATTTTAGCCCTGACTGCACTTCCCTCATTCTGTGTGTTTAAATTAGAAATTTACCTTCATGTATTTTTCTGATGTTTAAAAATAACACTTTTCTAGTATTGCAAAGAAAAATTAAAATAACAATAAGGAACACCGCTAGGTTAAGGACCTTAGGTTGAGATCAGATGAGCAATTTCAACGGAAATCTACAAGAAGCAGACTCAAAATAAACACCAACAAAAAAGTCTTCCACTGAGATCAGATCAGTCCTTGCAGGTGTTTGTACAGCTGCTAGATTAGTATTAACACAAGGTGAAAAATGGGTTATAGTCTCCTATATGGGGAGCCATAGGTCTCAGATTTTGCTCCCCTTTTCAACAGAAGCTTCAAAATGTCCAAAAATTTAAATTTCTAATCTAATTTGCAAAATATTAATAATGAGTTGCTTCTCCCCCTGTGATTTTCAGGATGCTGTACTGAGAAAAATGAGAACAATGTTAAGGTTGTAGTGTTCGTTTTGCAACTCCAAATAGTTTAATTTGCCTATTAACATCAATTTCTAAAATTAAAATAGGAATCATAAACATTTTGAATCTGAGTAAAAGAAGGATGATCATTTAAAAAAAAACAAAACAATTTACTGTTACTGCCTGACTCCCATCTGGTCTGAGGTCATTATTTCCCCCTACTTAGACCCATTCCAGTCCCACCTCGCTCCCTATGCCAAAGTATCCCTCCCACTCTCCTCCTCCAATCCCTGTCCCTTTGCCCTTATCCCTTGTACCCTCCCATCTGTGACCTCCGCAACCCCTCCTCTCTCATTCTTAATCTTGATTCTCTCAGCTAGCTCCTTTTTCTCTGCCTTCAAACATACCTACTTCTCTGCATCTTAAAAAATAAATTTTCCTCAGTTTCTCCCACCTTTCCAACTGCTACCCTGTCTCCCTAACTCCTTTCACATTCTAGCTGCTTGTACTTCCTTTCACTCCTCTGTTCCACAGAGACTTCTCTCACTGAGTCAGTCTCCAATGAGCTTTTCTTGGCCAAGTCCAAATCTCTCTTCTTCAGTCTCATCCTCCTTGACCTCTCCAGGCTCACCCTGCTTGACGTTTCTACTACCTTCAACACTGTTGACCATATCATCCTCCTTAACTCTCTTCTACTTCGCCTTTCTGAACTCATGTACTTTTATTTGACTATCAGAAACTTGATTTGGAGTGCTCCGTCCAGTATCTCCTCTGGAGGCGCCACCTCCTCTTTACTCCCAAATTCTGTCTTTTGGCCCCCTCCTCTTCTTCCTCTGCACTTTATGCCTGGGTAACCTCATCCACTCGATTTGAGCTACTACCATTATGCTGACTCTCTCTCTCTGCCAATGACTGATCCCCTTTTGTTCCCTTCTCGCACAAGTGTCCGTGCACTCCTGAGTGCTGGCTTCCGAGCCTGAAATGGTCTCACTGGTCTGGTAGGCCAAGCAATCTCCCTTACTATATATCTTCTCAAAACCCACTGCTTTTCACAATCCCTCAAACAACAATCCACAAATTCCATTAAAACAATTATTAAAGGTAATTAACAAAACAAAAAAGACCACCCAGGAACTACTACAATAGGTAATGTAGTACCCAAACAAACCCTTAACTTTATTCTGTGTACTTCTTCTTTCCTGCATTTCCCTTGCTTGTTGTTTTCTTTCCAGTGTCATCTCGTGTCAATTTAGCTGGCTGAGGTGGACATCATGTCTTTATTTGCTATGTGAATTGCCATACATGACTATAGCACTATACACAAATATTTAATAATAAAATAAGGAATAAACAATAACAGCAGCAACTGGAAGCATCAATATGGATAAAGGGTTTGTGTATGCATTATGCATTGCATACTGTCTAAAATAAGCAAAATCCAAGGGAATGGAAAGACACTGATATATTGTTCCACCCTGAGGGATTTGTACCAGCATCTTCTCTCTATTCGTAGAACATATATGGAAGCAACTGTTTCTATAGACAGTTCCATTATAACTAGTTATAGATCTAATACGTAGGATGGAACAGTAAAAGTGTGACAGCTAGAAGCTATGGAACACAGGTGAAGCGCCTTTCTACACTCAATTTTTGCCTCTACTCCAGGGGGGAGGGGACAGTGGCAGGTCATGGAACATATATAGACAACACATCTTGAAGAACCAATTACTGTAAAGTACAAGTAGCCATTTCTTCTTCTCTGAGAGCTTGTCCATAAACATTTCACTGTTGGTAACTCACAAGCAATGACCTAGGATACAGGAGGTGGATGCTAGGAGTCTACCTAACCAATGATTGTAGGACAGTCCTACCAAAATTAGCATCAGATCTTGATGCTTCCACTATGGAGTAATGCTGGGTGAATGTGTGTATTGAGCCCAAAGTAGCTACCTTAGTATCTCCAAGTATGGGAACATTTATCAAAGAAGCAACAGAGGTTGTTTGTGCTCTGGTAGACTGAGATGTAGACCCACCTATGAGAGTATGTTAGCTAATTCATCACATCACTTGATACAAGCGGAAATCCAGTTAGAACATCTGTGTTGAAAGGGCTTGTCCTTTAACCCTGTCTACATAAAATATCAATAATCTTGGGGATATCCTGAATGACTTAGCGTGCTCTCCTTCTATGTAGATAGGACTAAGAACTTCTGTAAAGTTCATTTCACCTCACCTTTATCTGAATGTGAATTTTGGGGGGAGGGAGGGGGCGGAACAGGTAGAGGGATGACCTGACTTAAGTGAAAGACAGAGACCATTTTCCGTAAAAATTTAGGGTGAGGTCTTACGGACACCCTGTCTTTATAGGGGGCCTTGCCATCAAGTGCTTGTATCTCCTCAACCCTTTGGGCCAGTGTTACTGCCACAGAAAAGCTGTTTTAATAAAAAGTGGAAAGAGAGAACATATGGCCATTGGCTCAAAAGGTGGGGCCATTAGCCCCAATCAGTCCAATATTTAGATCCCGAAGAGGGAGAGGTTCTCTGACTGGGGGGATATATAAACCTAGCTACCGTAGGGTGTGGAAATGTAAAATATCATTGAAGTGGAGGGTGGAAAACTGAGATGGCTGCTAGGTGAACCCTCTGGGAACTCACTGACAGTCCAGAGTCCTTTAAAGATAGAAAGTAGTCCAGTATGTCTGGAATCTGTTCCAGGGATGGAAATAACTGATGCTGCACCCAGATTATGAATCTCTTCCATTTAGCAGCATAAGTATGCCTTGTAGAATCTTTTCTACTGCAGATTAGGATGTTTTGTACTTCAGGGTAATAGGATCTTTCCACTCAGGTCAGCTAGCCAGCACCCATGCCCTAAGGTGCAGGGAATGTGGATCCAGATGGAGAATCTCATAGTGCCTGAAATATTACATCTGGCTGGAGAGGCAACTGAATTGGAGGTTGGATGGAGAGATTCTTTAGGCGTAAAGTACCGGAATTGTCTTGGCCATGCTGAAACTATGATAATACTGGCTGCATCTTGCCTGAACGTCCTGAGAACACTCAGGATAAATGCAATGGTGCAGGAGTATAGAACCACTAAGGATCTCAGTGTAGTATGTGAGTCCTTCAGAGAGTGTAAGGCCTCATCTGCTTTAGCACTGAGGAGTTCGCATCCCTTGAATGGGAGATCCTCCATTGTTATTTGAATTTCGTTAGAGATCCCTAAAGAGCAGAGACATGAGGATCCCTTATAGAAATGAAAAGCAACGAGGAGTCCTTGTGGCCCTTAGAGACTAACAAATGTATTTGGGCTATAACCCACTTCATCAGATGCATGTGTATGCCCAAATAAATTTGTTAGTCTCTAAGAGACCATGAGGACTCCTCGTTGTTTTTGATGATACCGACTAACACAGCTACCCCTCTGAAACTTATATAAATGAGGTTACCATAGATCTAGAAGCTATACCGGCAGCATCACAGGCTGCTTGGAGTGATATGCATAACCACCTCACCTTCAGCAACGAGCAACTTAAATGCTTCCCTACTGTCTTAAAAAAGCCTGCCTACACATTTAGCCATGTAATCCCACTTTAGATAATTGTATTTTGCCAACCAGGCCTGGTAGTTAATGACTCATTTGCAGGCTCGATGTGGAGTAATTTTCCTCATCCAAATAAATCTAATTATTTGGGTTCCTTGTCTTTTGATGTTGCTTTGTGTTGCCTTCCACGTGATCTCTCTCATTCACCACAAGAACCACCCATGATGCCAGCCGTGTATAAAATTGCTCAATACCATGGGAAGACACTAGGTGGCAATGATGATCTGAGCTCTTTGATGCTCATACCAAAGAGGCAGGTGTCTGCCAGAGCGATTTAGCTGATTCTAGAAGTCCATCTTTGATGGGCACTGCAAGAGATCCCAGTATGGACCTGTGTAGGATGTCCAGAAGCTTCTGCGATTTTTCCTGTACTGCTTCAGCTGGAATCTCCAGCGTGTCAGCTATTCTGCATAACAAGTCCTGGAACAACTCATAGCCCTCTAGGGTTGAGGTAAATGACTCAGGGACAACAGTTTCCTGCCGGGATGATGAGGACATGTGAAACTGGGTTAGGATGGCTTCTGTTTGGGATTCCTCACCGGGAACCATGAATGTCTGTTCAGCTGGGAGTGGAGCAGATTGGGTTGGTGGAGGTGAAGAAGGGGATCTAATCCTGGATTGGGAGGCAGAGACTGGCCTTCTAGCCTGATGCTTTCCTCTCACAGCCCAATACAGATAAAAGTACTGTTAAGCACAAGACACAGGTGGCCAAGGGAGAGGATACCAGAGAATTCTATCCCTCTTTGAGCTTCTATGTGAGGGTAATAGAAATCAACCCTTGACTCCCTCTCCGTGGTATGCTGCCTGAATATCTAGACCCCGGGGAACAAAGTGGGCCAACCTCCCTACTGCCTGCAGAGCCCGAGGAGGAGAATATATAGTCCTCCTGGAGAGGAGGAGCTGTAGCAGCTGGTGTGCTAGGAGCACCTTTAGTCTGTGCCCTGGTTGGTACCACTAATGTACCTAGTACCAGTGTCAGAGCAGCAGTCGGTGCTGGAGGAGGCAGTTCCATCACTGCTAATAGTGGAGAGTCCAGCACTGAAGAGACCAGTAGGTCTTTCAATGCTATACAGGATTTCTATACTAATTATGTTGGTTTCAAAGACAGGTGAGTAGATGGTCATAGTGCCAGGGTTATTAGTATGAGAGACATGAGGGCCTCAATGCTGAGAGCTCTGTACTGAGAGATTTAAGCGTTACCAAGGGAGGCACTGTGAACAGTGCCAGACTGGGTGCCTTTTCTTCTGAAGTTTGAGAGGATTTATGGTTCCTTGAGGAAGAGGACAGAGATCTCTTTCCTTTGTGGGTCCAGTGCTCTTTCCTTCCTCTGTACCCTGAGATTTTACCAAACTAGAAAGATGGATCTTTAGGAGCAGCTGCTATTATTAATTATTAAACATGTTTATTTTGAACAGTGACTATCACAATCAGGTCTTGGTCTATGACGGAGGTTCCTAGGTGCTACAGTAATAAATGGGGGGGGGAGGGATAGCTCAGTGGTTTGAGCATTGGCCTGCTAAACCCAGGGTTGTGAGTTCAATCCTTGAGGGGGCCACTTACGGATCTGGGGCAAAATCAGTACTTGGTCCTGCTAGTGAAGGCAGGGGGCTGGACTCAATGATCTTTCAAGGTCCCTTCCAGTTCCAGTTCTAGGAGATAGGATATCTCCATATATTTAAAAAATATATATATTACAATAAATAAATAAATAAATACGACATTGAAGTGTCTAATAGCCAACAAAGAATGGACCCCACTTTGCGAGACACTGTACAAACCCAGAGTAGTAAGTGGTCCTAGCCCCAAAGAGCTTACAGTCTAAATAGACAAGACAGACAGAGGGTGTGAGGAGTCTCTAACAACAGCAGAGTGAAAAGTGTGATAGCAGCTAACAAACTAATTCCACAAGTTTTAACTTTTTGTGGGGGTTTTAGGGTGTAGATTTACTTAGGAAGGGATTGGTTAAATGGAAATAAAAGAGAATGGAGAGGGGACACTGAAGGGCAGGGCATGAGGGAGACAGGGTAAGAGGGGCAGGTGTGGAGTGAAGCTGAGGTGAAAAAATGGGAGGGAGGGAGAGGGGTGTGTTGGAACGAACAGCCAATCAAACACAGGGCAGTGAAAGTCCAGTTAAAACTGTAGAAAATTCTCTGAATGTCCAGAGGTCCCTGTTTTGGCCATTTCAACTCCAGCCAGCTGGAGACTCTGACCAGCTAGGCCACATGGCAAAGGAAGAGGGGAGGCACCACCTGGGTCCTAGTGCGTCCAGAGTAGGGGGAAGTCTCCCCTGCACAGTTCAGGGTTCAAGGAGATGCTGGGGTGAGAGATGGCCCATGAGGCCCCATTTTCTCCCACCCCCAGTGCAGCATTCCCTAGTTTGGCTGCTTCTGCTCCCACTTTGACTCCAGGAGTTAAGGAGGCAGCCAGAGCACTTTTAGATGATGAGTATTAAGAAACTGCTGCTCCAGGTGTCTTGGGGTTTGGAAAGGGATGCACTGACCTCTCCAGGGAGAATATTTTCAGAGGAGATTCTCTACCTCTTTGGGTTCTCATAGAAACTGATTTACACGTGGTACATGATTCTGTTATGTGCACCTCACCCAAACACAGTAAGCATCTAGTGTGCCCATCATTGGAAGGCACTACAGCCTCACCGGAAGAGGAATTTTTGAAGCCTGGAGATTTCTGCTCAGCCATTATGACTGATCTCAGTTCCAGAGCTAACTCACGGGAAAACAAAAAAGTGAATTTCCTTCTAAAAGGAAGAAAGGAATTACTATCAAAAATCTGTAACAATAACACTAACTAACTAACTACTAAGTACCTAACTATCCAGAACTATTTACCTGACAAAGAATAGGCCACATAATGAGCTAAGAAGCTTGGACACTGCAAGTTCCAACCCATACCCAGAGGAAGGGAGAAGGAAATGAAGGGTAGGGTCGCCCTGCCCTTTCTGCCCTCAGAGGCACAGGAATACTCAGGGCGCAGGCATGGTCCCCAAAGAACATTGCTGGCCCAAAGTATCTGGACTTAATTGTATTGGATGCATGCTCACCAACAGTGAAATACATATGGACAAGGACTTGAAGCACAGACCGTTCATCACTAGAAAGCCTGGATGAGCTGTCTCCTGGAATTCAAATCAATGTCTCTCTAGCAAGTCACTAGGACAGCTACTGGCACAAGACCAAATTTACCCTTCGAATGCCAATAAACTGTGTATTGTTTAAGATATTGTTACATATATTAAAATAGATTACAATGATTTTGCTTTTATACTGTGCCTCTACATAATGGAAAACATATACAGTAGCTAGCATAATAATATTGATCCTGCAAAACATAGAACTTACTGTATGATTTCCAATGTGTTAAGTTTTCTATGGGTTTATCTCTATTTACCATCAATGACAACAATACAGTTTCTATACGTTATTTATAACAAAAGCAAGCTCCCCTGGGTAAGGTTTTCAAATAGAATATGTGCCACCATCTTTAGGAGCCAATAACTTTAAATGTTGTGAAGTGTTGTCTTACAACAAATGGTTTCATTCTGAGTATCACAGATTATAAATTAGCACAGCAAACTACTATTAAGGTAAAACAGTAGACCTCAGTCAAGCCTGAAAGAAACAGATGTAGATCTGACTGAATTCAAAAGGATTTGCACAGGCTTCCATTAGGACTGAGTTCGGCCATAGGGTTTAATCAAAGCAGCAGAACTCTTGGAATTACTTCCAGAGGGTTATTATCCCTTACCTGTATTTCGCTGTGGGGTCTCAAACACTGAAATTGTGTCATCACTCAGAAAATAAGAAATAATGAACTGCCGATCCTTGTCAATGGGATTATCAGTAATAAATTTTGCAAGAAAGCGCAGCAGGTTACTTTCGAGGCCTTTTCTATGAGGGTAGAAGAAGTGGCAAGAAATTCAGTACACAGTATGATGAAACTTTTCATTACTTGGAGATGTATTTTGTGAAATAAACAAAATGCATATTCTTGGTCTGGACAAGAAATGGAATGAAGTTCCCTATTTTTTCAAAAATAATTTTCAGATGGGGTTAACAAAGCCAAGCAGGGTCAGCCAGATAGAAAGGAATTATTTTTCCGGGCACAATTGGTTCTCTGATTACAGATTCTGATTACATTTGTATTCAATCTCAATTGCAAATCAGGCTCAAAGTTTATTTCCAGAAATTTCATTGAGGGAAAAAACATTTTTTAGATGTATTAATTTCAAACCTAAATACAAATCAAAATACATGTCAGGACCCGCTCCAGGAAATTTGGCCAATCAGATTCTTTTTCCACGTGGCTATTTTTTAAAATGTGAAAACTGCATGAATTCAACAATAGTAAATCTATTGATTTAGACGTTACTATTGCAAAATGTACCATGGTTATATAAATTATTAAAATTTTAATAAAATCTTCTAAAAGCATTCTCCTTTTCTGAAGGCTCTACATGTGGGTTAATGGACCTCAGACCTGCAATGCAGCTTTGCTTTTTACTCAGGATTCATAAATCATGGCACTATCTATATAACCCACAATGGAAATAAAAGGTGCTAATGTTTTCATATTGCTATAGTACAACTGTGCATGAAAACCAGCCAACAAAGAAAGGAACTGTCAGGAAATCTCAAGAGAAACAAACGGGGGTTATATCATATTTGTGGATCTTCTGAAATTCTTTTTAGTCGTCTACACTTGGAGCCAGGGGTGTGATTGCCAGCTCAAGTAGATATACTCACACTAACTCTCATCCATCTAGCATGCTACAAATAGTAGTGGAGCAATGGTAACACGGGGAGCAGCAGCAGCAGTACAGGCTAGCCACCCCAAGTATGTACCCATGGGGTCTGGTTGGGTCATAGTTGGGGCAGCTAGCCACAACCACCTCTCACCACTGCATGTATGTACTACCACAGCAACACTACTTTTTTTTAGTATGATAGCTCAATGAGAGCTAGTGCAAGTATGTCTACTCGAGATGGGAATCACATCCTAGCTCCAAGTGTGGACATACCCTCAGAGTCTGATCCAACGCCAAATGAAGTCAACGGAGTCCTTGTATTTATTTTAATGGGAATCAGATTAGACCCTAACTTCACAGAAGACGGTATTTGCCTCGTTCACAGAAATGCCGAATGCAATGTTGCTAACCAAGTCCTAATATACCCGGACACTTAAGTAAGGTAACCTCGACATTTCACTTAGCACCCCTCTCCCCTGCAACCAGGAATTAAAAAAATTAACTGGGATTATCTTTCACTAAAATACCTGTCTTTCTCCATGAATTTCTTGAAATCTTTCTGGGGAGGTTGAGGAAGAAGGCTCAAGCAGGAGCATAGAGAATCCTCTTCAGAACCAAATCCAGTGTACGGTGGAAACTTCTTTTCTATTTTTGAAGGAGGTGGAGCCTTGAATGGAATTGGGGTAAAATCCTCTATAAGAAAATAAGACAGCAAGATTTTTTTTCAGATCATGCTATTTTATTAAAGATATTGCATTTTCAGTATAGATGTCTATGAATATATTCGTGTAACAAAGCAGAACCTCCCCCTTTAAATCAGGGGTCCCAAACATATGGCCTGCAGAGTTAATTCCATAGGCGCCGACCTCACTGGCAGCCAAGCTCCCCGTCCCCATTCCCAACCCCCCACCTCCCAAGCACGCTGCTTCCCCACTCCTCTGCCTACCTCCCAGCGCTTCCAGCTGTTTGGCAGCACTTAGGACTTTCCAGGAGGGAGGGGAGAGGAGCGGGGACACGGCGTGCTCGGGGAGGAGGCAGAGCTGGAGCGGGGATTTGGGGAAGGGGTTGGAATAGGGGCAGGGAAGGGGTGGGAGGAGGTGGGGCAGGGGCAGGGCCTCATGGACTAGATGAGCAGTCTGGGGTACAAAATTCAGCATGTATGATTCTTTGCTGTGAGAAGTTGGGAAAAATGTTTGTTAAAAGTGGCAACGTATTTTGTATGAATAGTTACTTTAAAAAGTTACTGCCATTAAAGCTATGTTGATAGACTGTTCATGTAGATCATCATCAGTGTTACTGACCACATAAGGAATA